AGGAGGAGGAGGAGGAGGAGGAGGAGGAGGAGGAGGGGGTATACTTTGGAATCTTACCATCTTGTTCGGTTTGGCAATGAATGGGTGCAGATTTGACACCGTCACCACCAGAAGTGAAAGCAAGAATTTGCATACTGTAGTTTGTAAATTTCTTAAGACCATGGAGAATAGTCTCGCTGGACGACGTAATCTTAGTATCTTTGGTATTTTCATCGTGCCATGATTCCGAGGGCCCATAAATAATCTAAAACGTGAAAATTTTACCAATAAAGTGACGAGGAAATGCTGATGCGATTAATGAGATAAGCGTGAAAGTGAATTTAATGGGATGATACCTTGTATCCGGTAATGACTCCGTTGGCAGCTGCAAGAGGTGGCGAGGACCATGAAACGCGAATTGTTTGAGACGTGAGAGTTGTGCAAGTGGTGTCGTGTGGAGGTTGTTCGGGCACGCCTTCGGCAGTGTGTTGTCTTCTCTCCTCGCTCATTGGCCCGGATCCTACTTTATTGAATGCTTGAACGACGACGCTGTATTGGGTGTAGGTCTTGAGGTTCATAATTTGCAAATGATGCTCTTTTCCATCTTCTTTGGAAAACTCTACGGTTTCGAACATGTACGGCTTATCGGATGACGCTAGTCGATATCCAACATAGTAACCAAGAATCTCGCCGTTCCAATCGTCGCGGGAAGGCGGCTTCCACGACACCTGCACGATTAACAATTATTCATAAGATTGCAAAATAATTTAACGGTCTATTCGATTCCAAATTTGCATGCTTACACATTATCATTATTATATTTTTTCAATTTTTTTGCTTTTTATCATTTTGTTATTATTGTTATTATTGTTATTATTATTATTATTATTATTATTGTTATTATTATTCTCATTATTATTATTCTCATTATTATTATTGTTATCATCATCATCATCATCATCATCATCATCATCATCATCATCATCATCATCATCATCATCATCATCATCATCATCATCATCATCATCATCATCATCATCATCATCATCATCATCATCATCATCATCATCATCATCATCATCATCATCATCATCATCATCATCATCATCATCATCATCATCATCATCATCATCATCATCATCATCATCATCATCATCATCATCATCATCATCATCATCATCATCATCATCATCATCATCATCATCATCATCATCATCATCATCATCATCATCATCATCATCATCATCATCATCATCATCATCATCATCATCATCATCATCATCATCATCATCATCATCATCATCATCATCATCATCATCATCATCATCATCATCATCATCATCATCATCATCATCATCATCATCATCATCATCATCATCATCATCATCATCATCATCATCATCATCATCATCATCATCATCATCATCATCATCATCATCATCATCATCATCATCATCATCATCATCATCATCATCATCATCATCATCATCATCATCATCATCATCATCATCATCATCATCATCATCATCATCATCATCATCATCATCATCATCATCATCATCATCATCATCATCATCATCATCATCATCATCATCATCATCATCATCATCATCATCATCATCATCATCATCATCATCATCATCATCATCATCATCATCATCATCATCATCATCATCATCATCATCATCATCATCATCATCATCATCATCATCATCATCATCATCATCATCATCATCATCATCATCATCATCATCATCATCATTATTATTATTATTATTATCATCATCGTCGTCACGATCATTATCATTGTATGTTTATGCTCGATAATAAAAAATGTCATTTTAATTTAAGTGGAGCTTAAGGGATATTGGAATTGAAATAACCAATCTGTTGTGTCTGCGCACAATAGACAGTGACACAATATCATAGATGTTTGATTATCCAAATGACTTGGATTAAACATTTCAAATGCATTTATCTATCATTACGTAAAGTGTCTTGATAAACTACCTTAAGTGTGTGTTGATCTAAAGCATCGACGCGCACAGTACTCGGAGGGCCCGACGGTGATTCTTCTGCTGTGATAATAGTTACTGTATCGGATGGCTCAGAAGTGCCGATTTCATTTTCTGCAACGATGCGTAGATGATAGGTGGTTGCCGGTTTCAGATTGAAAACTCCAGCGACATTTTGCTGTGAGCCGGGTACCACGACTCTATCGATATCCGTTTCCCAAGAGCCTTTACTGATCTTGTATTCAATAACGTATCGTTTAATTGGACTATTTCCGTCGTAGGGAGCCGCCCAAGACAACTGCACAGATCGACCTGATTTGTCCAAGACTTTGAGCCCATAAGGGACCTCCGGTACCTCTGTAAATCCAATGCAAACAATGTTTATAATAATAATCGAGCGTTTCTCTAACGCATAATGTTTTCGTGGTCGGTTACAGCGACTGACCTTGGATAATCATATTTATGCTCGTGTCGTCGCTACCGAATGCATTGGTGGCTACGCAAGTGAACAAAGCCGAGTCACTTCGTTCCGTTCTTTTAATACTGAGATCCGAGAGGACGCCATTGGCCATTATTTCTTCTCGTATGGTGTAACGGGAATCGCTCTTGGGATCCAATCGTTTGTTATTCATGTTCCACAGGATGCCAATTGGTTTTTCGCCTTGAGCCTCACATTGTAATACAGCTGGCTCGCCACGACGAGCCGTTTGATTTCGCAGTTTGATCTCAAAGTGAGGTGGAGCTAATGATAATTATACGCTTCGTAAAATTGCTATCGATTATTCTAAAGTACGCGTATGTGACTATTTGTGGAAATCTTACCTTGCACAGAAATCAAAATTACGGCAGATAATCCAGAGCCAATTCCATTAACGGCTTCGCAAAGATAATATCCTTCGTTTGTCTTTTGAATATTGTTGATCATGAGAGTACCATCTTCGACACTGATGTCAGGATTATTGAGTTTCAAGTCGGTATAGTCGCCGGGAGTATCGCCTACGTTAAACAAGCAAAGTTCGTATTTTACCATTTTTCTGAATTTTCTGTATTTTAATCTTATAATAAAATTATTATAAACAATAAAAGGAACTCACCAGCAGCCCTCTTCCATGTGACTTGGGGCTTTGGGAAACCATCGGCTTTACACTCAACGCGAGCCTCCGAGCCTTGAGCAAATGCTTTATCGGTCGGTTCAAGAATCCAACGTGGAGGTACTGCAGCGTCATTAAAAATACGAATTAGCAATAACGCTCGATCGATCAATATTTCTATTCGAAGAGACTACAAAGCGAGAGATTTTGCAAGAGAGCGATATTAATTCTATCCGACTCGATAAATAAATGAATAAATTGTACAATGAAATTTATAAAAAAACATTTGGTGAAAATTATATGAGTAAGAGAGAAAAGTTAAAATAAAAATAAAATCAAAATAAATAAATCAAATAAATAAATAAACATGAAAAAAAAAAGGAAATTCGCGTATATTATGTATATAAAAATTTATATGCATATATTAATTGAAAATACGGATAGAATTAATGATGGAGAGATATTAAAAGCGAAATGTCTGTTGATCGTTATGCGTTAAAGTTTCAAATTGAAAACAAATAGAATAATACATCCATATTTTTCATTAGTAAAAAAGCAAAACTTCAAAACATTCGAGACAGCAGCTATAAGTATTTTTCATTTTGTATTATTATCAACAGGCAATTCTCACGTGATTCATTTTGCTACATGCGATCGCTAAATGACTCCCTTGTAAAAGTAATGAAAATGCTTCAGATAAATGTGCGTGTGCGTGTGTGAGTGCGTGCGCGCGCGCGCGCGTGTGTTACACGAAGGGGAAGTATATTATTCAACATATGGTTTTTCCAAATAACTACGTTATTTAATTAGATCGTTTCATTTGTTATTAAAATTATTTAAATTGCAATCTCGTCTGAGATTAAGTAAAATAAATAAAAAAAAAAAAAACAAAATTAATGACAGTATTCATCGGTCGCTCGTTAAATTTACATTAACGACTTTCATGTTATTTGAAGCATTTAATGAAAAGCACAAGCTAATATTTAGAATAGAGAGTGACTCGCATGGCTCAGTATTGTTTAGCATGCATTCTTCATGATATTTTGAGAGCGGCAACATGCAGGCAGCCGCAAATGTTCAAAGCAACTACAATAAACATGCAGGATTAATAATGTGTTTCTACAAATTAAGTGACAGGATTAAAGGATCGAAGGTATGGGCTTTGGATTGCGGAGAGAAAGTGAGTGAGAGATAAGGATGTCGTTTGAAAGTTAATCGACTCAACCGCGAATATACCCAACAAGTTTCATATCGATTTGGCTAAATCATATTACTTAGACTTTTTGACCACGTTCTATCGAGGAACATCCAAGCAATCTAATCGACGCATTTATGCTGTTGAAATTACTTTTCTATTCAATTTTCATCCATATTTTGTTTTATCGAAAGACGATGAACGAGGAATTGATAATGACGAACCAATACTAATGTTATATATATCCGAGAATTCATGGTAATAATGAACGAGGTTGATTATTATATTGACTATGAAAGATGCTGCGATAAAGACAACGATTAATCAATTTTAGGATAATTAGCGTATAAGCTGACGATTGCTACAAGATGCAGCCGCTGCGGGTACGATTGGGAAACGAACAATTAGCAAGAGCTTTTAAATACATGAGAAGTCCAACGCAAGAAATAAATATAGCATAATGCATTAATGCAAGCGACGAGGAATGTACCGACGGAGCATCAACTGATTTCATTGCCAAAGTACTGGCTTTGTTGAAAATTCTAGAAAAATGCATTAATTTGATCAAGTTACATATAATATACATACACACATACATACATACATACATACACACATACATACATACATACATACACACATACATACATACATACATACATACATATATATATATATATACATATCACACGTACATATTACTCTTTATAAATAGCATAAATTATTTACATATTGTTTAAAATGACGCGTTTGGGAATTGAAAGAAACATATGGTTTATCAGTACAAGTATTTTCCTTTCTTTATTTTTTATTTATTTATTTACTTTTTTTTTTCACGGAAAATCTGCATTATTGCGCTAAAAATTATTATTCAAGACTTCGGAATCGTGAGATTGTCATTTTATATTAACAAATAGGTATTGCCGCTTAATTCTCTTCCTCTGATTAAAGATTGTAATTTAAATTTGTACTCGAACTTGATAAATAAACATTAGAATGTTGAACGAAATTACGAATACGGGGCGACGAAAAACGAGAAGAAACGAAGAAAAAAGAACAAAAATAAAATGAAAAACAAATAAGGTGATTAAATGGGTGAAGCGGCACTCAAATGCCAATGATGCTGCATTTAATAAGCAGGGAACAAGTTTTATTTTTACAAGAATAATATGTCAAGACAAAGCGAGCGACTGAGTTCCGTTGTTCCAGAGCCTTACGAAGTCATGACATCAGCCTAACCGTGTACTCGTAAGGTCGCCTGGTGTGTGTCGTTGCCAGACGGATTTTTCGCGATACACATGTATTTGCCTCCGTGACTCGGTTCTACCGGATCAATCAGTAGTATACTCGAGCGCGGCCCTACTTGACTCACTCTGTAGCCCATAGACTGCGACGACAGCTTTTTCCCTTCGAACGTCCAGCTGATTTCAAGTGGCATATCGCCGATCAGCACCATACAAGCTAATTGGGCGGTTTGCCCGTCGTAAATCTGCTGATCGCCGAAATCAAACGGAGTGATGCGTGGATGTACTGGAAATTCAATGATGAAAATGCCAGTTGCACACGACGTTTTTCTTTTTTGTTTTGATTTTTTTTTTTTGTTTTTTTTTTTTTTTTTTTTTTTGTTTTTTTTTTTTGTTTTTTTTTTGTTTTTTTTTTTAGTGGATATTTTTGTTGCATTTCGTTTTGATTTTCTTTCGAAGCCGGTAATAATTTTTTTTTTTTCGCTTCATCCTAGCTGACGATTATACGACTTAACGTGTGTCGGTGACCTCTGGTGGCACTCCAATCCCCTGTCTTTTAGCTCTCGGTATATCGGTGAAATTACTTTATCCTTCCTTTTTTTCGTCTTTCATTTTTCTTTTTTTTTTCTTTAAAAAAATTATTATTTACATGAGCAACCAATGTATTCTTCAAAGGCCCCGTGACTTTTCATTTAGTGTAAGATGGGAGAGTATGTAAAAAATTGGAGCGTGTATATCAAAGATCGGGATAATTAATACATACGGAGATGCTTTATTAATATAAGATCAGATATTAGGCAAACGAAAGCAGGAATTCGTTTGTTCTTAATACCACTGTCATGAGGATATTCGTAATCTTTATGGTGAAATTATGCAGTACGCACTAAAATAAAGATGACAATTTGAGCAAATTATTCTCTAGGACAATAATTACGGTGTTGTTTTTAGGGGATAATACATACTGCGTATCAATATAAGGCACGATAAATTCTAAATATACAGATTATAATGCAGCCTGCGTTACAATAATATCAAGTTATCTACACTGTAAAGATTGGTAAAATTTCTTTTTAATAGCCGTAGACGTCCGTTAATTGCCCTCAAGCAGATAAATTGATCACATCTCACGAGCCGAACTGTGAGTTTCGATGCTCATGGCGAAGGCGATGCAACAGTCTCGGTCTCATCTATTAATATTTCGCGTATTACATGACTATTTTGACAATTACGAACAAAATTCCCCGGTGAATATTAGAATATGACACTAAATTTGATTAAAAAGAAGTCGTCACTAATCTCTCTCTCTCTCTCTCTCTCTCTCTCTCTCTCTCTCTCTCTTTCTCATCGTCTGCTTCTCGTTACGTAGGGAGTTGAAACTGTAGATAAGATAAACGTCGGCGGTGGATTTAATTTGAATGTTGCATCGCCTTAATACAGAGATGATCAATTCTCGGTGTACCGTTGACTTTGAGATGGGCGCGGTGCGTAACGCGACCAGCTGGACTCTCGGCGACGCACGCGTACTCCCCGGCGTGCTCGCCCCTTACCGAAGGTATGGTAAGAGTCGAGACTCGATCCCCCATAGCGGTTATTTGCACTTGATTGTCTATTTCGATTCGGTGGTCGTTGAAGAGCCACTGAAGCGACAGAGGCGCGTCTCCTTTAACGACTGCGCAATGCACTATTATCAAGTCGCCGGTGTTGGTGCTTTCGTGAAACGAGAACGGTTGAAGGTGCGGTGCGACTGTAAGATAACAAAGAGAACATGGAGGCTGTATCGTCGCTGTGTTACCTATTTGCCGTAAGTATGGTTATAAAATCGTAATTTGGTCGCAGTTGTAGGGGGAGTCGCGTGGGTGGATCGTGAGTGAAACGAGCAGATGATTCATACGTGGCTTCGCTTGGCATTGGGAAAAGATAGCTCGAGTAGGAACAAAGTAGATAAGATATTCGATACGGATGGCCATCGGTACACACATGCTTAAATAGAAAGAGAAAGAGGGCGTTTGAGAGTAATTTCAACACCGTTGACGATGAGCTCGGCCGAGAGCCGCTGCCTGCCGGCCGAATTTTCTGCGGCGCAGGTGTAAGTGCCGGCATGCGAGGCTTGAACGGATCCGATGCTCAATATAGCTCCGCGCTCTCCCAGATCCAATATGGATATACCGGAATGTGGAGAAATTGCGTGACCGTTTAAAGTCCAGTGGAGTTTTAGTGGCTGATCGCCTTCGATGACAGCACAAGGGACCGTAACGACTTGTCCGGAATTTAGCGGACCATCGCCTAGCGAGAATGGTAGCAACTTTGGTAGTACTGAAAATAAGAGAAAACCAATCGAGACGTTGAAATTAATAGTTATTTTAGACTCTGTACTGTATGATTAACGATTACGGCTCGTTGAAAGCTAATAATGCGAGCGAACGTTTGGAGGAGGAAAACAATTGAAATGAGATAATCGATCGATGTTGATGGGAAGTTCATTATCATGAAAAATATTATATTATTATAAATTGCCAGCCAAACATGAAAATGTCGATTCGAATAAAAACGAGGACTAGATTTTAATAAATCTAGTAATTATTTACATCCAAACATGCTGAATTATACTCGGACGTGTGATTTAAGATAGTAAGGCGAGATTTATTATCTGTCTTGCTACGTTAGAATACAGTGTTTTGATCTTT